GGCAACCTACATGTTTGCAAGCTGCAGTGCTTCAGTTCACTACGGCATCACGCAAAACGGTTGGCGACCTACATGTTTGCAAGCTGCAGTGCTTCAGTTCACTACGGCATCACGCAAAAGGGTTGGCGACCTACTTGTTTGGAAGCTGCAGTGCTTCAGTTCACTATGTATCACTGCGCAAGGGTTGGTGATCTTCATGTTTGCAAGCTGGCAGCGCTTCACTTCATGAGGGCATCAACAGGTTGGTGACTTACATGTTTGCTATAGGAGTTGTGTCCACACTACAGCAGGGAAGTGGTGGACTATATGCTTGCCATGTCTCCAGCTGTTCGATCTTCAATATGTTTTGAAAAACAGGGCCCGCAACTAGTGGCAGGAGCCGGCTCAAAACCTGTGAGCATTGTCCTGGGGGCGCCAAACAGCGAGGTCCGGTTGCTCACACCTCGTGGCCCTACAGTGCACATTCGTACGCGACAATGTCTGGGTTGTAGGGTTGCACTGACCGTGTTTTTGCCCAGCATGGGAAAGCTTTATGTACAGCAACCACTTTCTCGCTTTGTTGATTCTGACACTAGAATCTACATCCTTTTACCTCAGCCGAGATTGGCATTATCAATCAAGGTAGTGCCAGCCGCTGGCTTGTTAATGAGCTTTGGGCATGTCTGACATGTGACTTGCCTACTTTGCCGGGACCTCGGGCCCATGCCTGTGGTGTACAGTGGAAGGCGGGTGGGTGGATGCCTCACACCCCTCTTTGAGCCTGTGCAATGCAGCTGGAGCCGACTTGAGCCGCCTTGCGGCCGGACACGCTGCACGCGGCGCCGCTTGCGCTGCGCCCGTGCGACCGAACGTCAGAGATATACACAGCACATAGTACTTGAACAAGATTTCGACCCACTTGGACAAAGATATTTTTTCAACAACGCGCCCGTATCGGACAAAACATGACAAAACATTCAACGACATCACTAGACTGAACTTGAAGGGCGTGGGGTCCTGCATCTCATGGATCTTCTTTTCAAACCCAATCTAGTCACGTCCCTGAAACGTGAACGTAGAATGTATGCAGTGTGCTGTAAAATCTGGCTGACCGTTGACCCCTTAAACAATCAACATGGTGTTCTTTCGGTTCTTCCTTTCCATTCTGTTTTGCTTCCTTCCTTCCTTGCTTGCTTCCTTCCTTTCTTTTGGACTATAGACAGAAGCAGCATTTTACAATCAATTGTGATTCCCAGACTTGACTGCAACTTGTGTGGCTGCCCCCAGTTTTGAACAAAATGAGTCACAAACGCGGGACACCCAAGTGTTTAGGCTGGCTCCATCCGCCTGCTGCATCCGCCTCTTGAAGTTTAACTTCAGGTTGCCAACGCCACCTGCATAAGTATGGCCCTTGATACTAGACCCAGAAATCGCTAGGCTGGAGCGGACAGAACAAAAGAATCTCTCTGCACGCTCTATTCTACGCTATGTTATTTGTCCTAAAAGTCAGGAACCAAATGAATAGCGTGAGCTATCCTGCGTTAAGTAGATAGTAGCTTACACTTGGCCCTTACTTGATTAAGTAGGCACCTACCTACTTAATTAAGTACTATTAAGTAAGGGCGGACTAAAAAGGGAAAGAACAGAAGAGATCAAGAACGCGGAGGAACTAGAAATTGCTGTGTAGGACATCCAGGCCTCGCCCAGGCCTTTCGGAGACAATGTCGGACCAAACGGACGCACCTCAGCGCAGAGTCCGAAAGAATCATTCTCACCTATGTGAGGCACAGCATCGCCTACCCAACAGCGAACGTCACTTGTCTGCAATAGATTCAATAGATTCTGCTGAAGAGAGTGATTCAATACACCATCACTGTGCTGACAGCTGCTGACACCCACTATTTCCATCGTCCCTCAAACGAAACCTCGACATCAGCTGAGTGGCACTTGGAGCAAAAGAGGTCTCGATCACCTCGCCAGATCAAACAATCCACCGAGCGGCGATGGTCCTTCGACCGCCCGAAATGTCAAGAACACCTGCCGTCCAAATCCGTCCAGTCGCCGTGCGTCTTGTTACTAGTGGCAAGAATGCTCCTAGTAGCGATGCCAGGAGCCCCTAGTAGCGTCCTTGCTCCTAGTAGTGATGCCCTTTGCTCCTAGTAGCTTCTTGTGCACGTCCAAAATCGTCCAAATCCGTCCAGTGGCCGTGCTCGTCTCGGACCACAAAGGTCTGCATTTCCTTTGTCCAGGTGGAGCACTTCCCACCTGAGGACTGGACGGTCTGCCAGATTCCATGAGAAACATATATATCTTTAAGGAACCGCACTTGGGCACATCCAACCCAATAGCAACGGCCTCCAGCCTAATAGCGATGGCCTCCAACCTAAGAGCCGTTTTCAATCCTTTGAGGTCGTTGCATGAGACCAAATTATAGTCCCTCCATTTCGCACGTTCCTCTGGACAGTCCGCGACCTTCACAGCCAGGACTGCTGAGTAATTAACCTGTGTGTGCTTTCATGGAATTTGTCACATCAAGCATCCTCAAAAAAATCATATTACATCTATTTACATAATCATACCAAATACATTATATATATATGCTTAAAAACTTACATTGCGGATTCCACGTCCTTGCCCCTTACTTGCACAGCTTTGCACAGCAAAACTATAAACCCGCAGAGCGGTCGCCTTCACCGTTCTTTGCACCAGCTCTGGGACCTTAGAGACTAGGCCGAGTGAAAAAAGCAAATGGTCTCCAACCTACTAGCGGTGGCCTCCAACCTAAAAGCATTTTCGGGTGTTCACCGGTTCACCAGTTCGTGTCAAAGATTTTCAAGCACACTCGGTGCGAATGCTAATAAGGAGCTTCAGCAGCTGTAAATCCAAAAGAAAGGTTGGTCAACGCTCACAAAAGCCTCTGATTTATATATATATATGTATATGATCCCCTTTGAAATTCACCTCCGGTGCTGGGTGGCCCGGTTCTATAGTATAAAGCAGCGCCCCCCAGCTTCGGGACACCTAGGTCCTTATAGAATCTGAGGCCTGAATCAACTGACATCATTATAAAATCTAACCCCTTAGTCGGAAAGGCAACCTCACGGACAGTGGTCGGAAAAGGTCCGCTCGCTAAAGAATCACACCTCCCATCTTCGACCAAAAAATAACATCAAGATAACCAAAAAAAAATCCTGTGATTCTATAGTGGCCAGAGCGTTTTTCGATTGGCGTTTCCGATCCTTCGGGTGGAAATCCGACAACATGCAAGTTAGACGCAAAAGAAGTGAAGCTCATCTTTCACTGCTATTGGCACGGTGTTGGTGTGTGATATGAAGCCACGCCACACTTGCGTCAGGTCAGTGAACGCTTGTCTCAACATATCTCAAGTCGAAACCAAAAGTTATTATTTGTACCATGCACTTGATTTTGAGACCTGTTTGTTATTTGCCTTGTCTGCACCCATCCATAGATCATCCAGGTAATTCCAGGATATTGGGATATATTGGGCAGATATCTATTTCACTGTGTCTTCAAAATCCACCGCATCGAGCATCAAGGAGCTTATAAAATCACAACCCCCATGTGACCATGCAGAAGCTCACGGACAGTTACATGAAATCAATATACCACTATATAATCTGACATCCCAGCTCTAGTACATCAAACTCACGGACAAAACTAGCTAAAACGCTGTTTGTCTTAGAATCAGGACCCCTAAGAGACTCCGTTGTATAGAGAGAAATTGTTATTATAAAATGATCATTTTCAGTACCCAGGTGATCTGATTCCATAGAGGAAATTCCAACCGGGATTGTATATGTATCACGCCCATTGCACTGAGTCAAGCATGCGCAACATGTAAGCCAACACTACAACATGCGGAACAAAACGATGCATACAAACAGCACTCGCTGTCTAAGCGGCATCAGTGTGACAAACTGCCACAAACTGCAAACCTTTTGTTTTCTCCTATTGGTTGCATAATTCAATCTTCATGATCTTCAACAATCCGACCTGCATGCTTCCATACAGTCTGTAGTATAGAACATCCTTCCATCCTTCCATCCGTCTTCGCGCAGTTTATACGCCCAATGGACGAAGCTGAGGCCCAAACAAACTTCACTCGCAGGAGGTTGCTAGATCGATATCCAGGAATTCTGGGCGACAGGAATGCGACCGACATCGACACGACTGTGGATGCAATCATTTGAGAAGCAACTTGTGGTCCATGTGCCAAGGTGCAAAAGTGATCTTGGCTTTGGCTGCATCTCCTGGAAAGAGGGCGGTAGGGTAACTGGTGGAGCTTCTGGTGTAGGTAGGAAACACAGGGCAAGACGCAAAAAAGCTGGCACAAAACCTTCAACTTAAAACCTTGAAGTCAAAGCATGGCCGAAGCTGATGATCACTCTAAGGCTGTGGTAGGCCGTTCGCCCGTGGCACGGAGACACTCCTGTGCAACATCATCATCCAAGACGACATCTATCCCCGAAGAAACTAGAGACGATGGCAGCCTCTGTTGAGTCTCCTGCAAGTCTTGGCAGAAGTTGTTTCTCTTGTGCAGGAAAGTCTTTGTGATATTTAGGAAACTGCAGAAATGACCACTATCACTATCAAACTATGGTAGGCCCTGCCACTCGGCAGGGAGACACTCCTGTTCAACTTCATCCTCTGACACAATCGTCTCCGAATAAACAGGAGACTTTTGCATCCGTTGAATCTCCTGCAAATCTTGGCAGAAGCTGTTTCTCTTGTGCAGGAGAATCTTGTTGACTTTGAGAAGGCTGCTGAAATGACCACTAGCACACTATGGCAGCCCCTTCGCCCGTAGCACGGAGACACTCCTGTTCAACATCATCATCCAAGATGACATCTATCCCCGAAACAACAGGAGACGATGGCAGCCTCTGTTGAGTCTCCTGCAAGTCTTGGCAGAAGTTGTTTCTCTTGTGCAGGAAAGTCTTTGTGATATTTAGGAAACTGCAGAAATGACCACTATCAATCTATGGTAGGCCCTTTTCCCCAGCACGGCGACACTCCTGTTCAACGTCATCGTCCAAGATGGCATCTATCCCCGAAACAACAGGAGACGATGGCAGCCTCTGCTGAGTCTCCTGCAAGTCTTGGCAGAAGTTGTTTCTCTTGTGCAGGAAAGTCTTTGCTATCAAACTATGGTAGACCCTACCCCCCGGCAGGGAGACACTCCTGTTCAACTCCATTCTCCGACACATCCGTCTGTGAATAAACAGGAGACGATTGCATCTGTGGAGTCTCCTGCAAAACAGGGCAGCAGCGTTTCTCTTGTGCAGGAAAGTCCTTCCTTTTGACTTTTACAAGGTTGCAAAAACGACCTTCAATAGCACACTATGACACTCTTGTTCAACTTGATCCTTCGGCACATCCGTCTCTGAAACACCAGGAGACGATGGCATCTGTTGAATCTCCTGCAAGTCTTGGCAGAAGTTGTTTCTCTTGTGCAGGAGAGTGTTTGTGACATTCTGGAAACGGCAGAAATGATAACTACTGTATCAAATATATCAAATCCTCCGACACATCCGTCTGTGAATAAACAGGAGACGATTGCATCTGTGGAGTCTCCTGCAAAACAGGGCAGCAGCGTTTCTCTTGTGCAGGAAAGTCCTTCCTTTTGACTTTTACAAGGTTGCAACAATGACCTTCAATAGCACACTATGACACTCTTGTTCAACTTGATCCTTCGGCACATCCGTCTCTGAAACACCAGGAGACGATGGCATCTGTTGAATCTCCTGCGAACCAATTCGGCAATCTGCGGAAAGGCGACGGAGCCTACGATAGCAGTAGACTCTGGACCGTCCCACACCTACACCTGCTACAACACAGTTTAAGATGTTTAAGCAGCACAGGAGTCATGAATCCTACCTAGGAAGGAAGTCAAGGAGTTGAGACCCCAAATAGCAAGGTAGTATCCAACATGCGAGATAAAAAGGGGTGCGCATACAATAGAACCGCGCAAACGAACTACTGTCCGCGAAAACAACCTTATTGCCAGCACTACCATCCTTAATGACGGCGTCTTGTACATGTGCCTTCCATAAAAGGCTGTTCTCCAACATGACCTAAGGCGGCCCAACACCGCCCCAACATGATCCAACATCGTCCCAACATAGGGGGAAAAAGGCCCAACATGGCTCAAGATCGACCCAACATGGCCGGCTGCAAAGAATGAATGCCGTACAGGCATGTTACTTCAACAGGCCAATCACGACAAAGCAGCGTCGAAGAAAGAAACGAAGAGCTGGAAGGCAAACTGCTTCTGCAGCTGCACGTAGCTCCAAAGGTTGAGGAAATAAAGTGAGAACTGGATTCTGAAGGGTACTCGCGGTCACATGAGATGCTTTCCTCTCCATGCTCAACTCTTTAAATCCTTGGCTAGCAAGAATTGTACAGTTTGTCAAAACTGAAGAACTTTTGCCAAGGTGAATCTTCCAGCGATGTACCACCTGTCAAGGTATAGGACGATGAAGATTTACTTTAGGAGAGCCGGAGAGCTGCTTGAAATGAGTCTATATACCTCTAATGTGCTATCTGTCAAGATAGATGATTATATACAAGTAGATTCATTCTGCAAGTATATATGTGCATAGGCTCGTCCGTGTACAGTTGCTTTGCCGGCCGCATACGCAAAGGAGAACACCTTTCTATGGAATTTAAGTATTCCTACGACAAAAGGCAAGTTGCATTGGCTGAAGACGGCCGATTCATGGTATCTTTCTGTGCTGAATTTATAGTTCTCCAGCCGAGCATCTCTATGAGATGTGAGAGCGCTTGAGCTATCGAGGCTCCCGCTATACTTTTAAGTTATGAGACTACCTTGTTCCCACACTGAGCGTTGTATTCATACGCGGTCATTGGTTGTATAGCTTCTTTGCTGGACTTAACTTTGCCTTGGAAGGGAAAAGGTAGCGGCATAGTGCGCCATGACAGAGTGATATGACTTTGTTGCCTGCTGAAATGCATCTAAGACGTACATCTCTGTACTAGCTCCTGCAAACATAGAAGTAGTTAAACGGACACTGGTTGTCTCTCCTTCACTGGGCATACCCCGCTAATAGCTTCGCTTCAACAACTCCCCTGTTCCAGCGCTTTCACGAGGATTGGAGGTACACCCCTACCATATACCCCTAGAACTGCAACAGTATGGCGTGTATACAATACTATACTATAATATACTATAATGAACATGTTTGATGAATGTAAACTCTACTATCACCCTTACCCCGGCACGGATATGCTCCTCTTCACCATCATTCTTCGAAATATGCGTCTTCAAAGATACAGGAGTCGATTGCATCCGTGGAATCTCCTGCAAATCTTGGCAGCAGCTGTTTCTCTTGTCTAGGAAAATCCTTTTAACTTTTAGAAGGCTGCACTACGGTAGGCCCTTTCCCCCGACACACTCCTGTTGAACTTCATCCTCCGACACATCCGTCTTCGAATAAACAGGAGACGATTGCATCTGCTGAATCTCCTGCAAGACTTGGCCAAAACAGTTTCTCTAGTTCAGGAATGTTTATTACTTTTAGAAGGCTGCAGAATTGACCGTTATCAAACTACGGTAGGCCGGTAGAACTTTTCCCGCAGCACGGAGACACTCCTGTTGAACTTCATCCTCCGACACATCCGTCTCCAAATAAACAGGAGACTTTTGCATCTGCTGAATCTCCTGCAAAACTTTGCAGAAACTGTTTCTCTTCTCTAGGAAACTCTTTTTAATATCTTTTTAACTTTTAGAAGGCTGCACTACGGTAGGCCCTTCCCCCGGCACACTCCTGTTGTACTTCATCCTCCGACACATCCGTCTCCGAATAAACAGGAGACGATTGCATCTGCTGAATCTCCTGCAAAACTTGGCAAAAACCGTTTCTCTAGTCCAGGAGTGTTTTTTACTTTTAGAAGGCTGCAGAAATTACGGCTATCAGACTACGGTAGGCCGGTAGGCCTTTTCCCGCAGCACGGAGACACTCCTGTTGAACTGCATCCTCCGACACATCCGTCTCCGAATAAACAGGAAACTTTTGCATCTGTTGAATCTCCTGCAAATCTTGGCAGAAGCTGGTTCTCTTGTCAAGCAAAATCATTTTAGCTTTTAGACGGCTGCAAACATGACCACTATCAGACTACGGTAGACGGTAGGCCCTTTCCCCCGGCACACTCCTGTTGAACTTCATCCTCCGACACATCCGTCTCCGAATAAACAGGAGACAATTGCATCATCTCTTGCAAAGTCGTGCTTTGGTGGTCCAAAGCCGAGTTTTCGCGACAGGTGCAAGGGATCGGAGCAGTTATACTTCGGAATGTTGATTCCGTGGCAGGCGCAGCACTTTGGACATGGTGGTGATCTTCGATGCGCTCTAACTTCGTGACAGTGACAGGTGCTATGAATCGTGACTTTTGGACATGTGGGTCGTTTTCAGAAAGCGGAGGACGTCTTTTGGTTTTGATATCCTGACGTTGTCTTTGGCAGCGCTTTTGCGGCAAAACACCTTGGCAGGGTTGCGCGATGTGAACCTCGAAGTGCAGATTTCGTGGCAAGCGCAGCGCTTTGTGAACCTTGAAGCACAGACTTAGTGGCAGGGTGAACCTGGAAGTGCAGATTTGGTGGCAAACACAGCACTTTAACCTCGAAGTGCAGATTTCGTGGTTGTGAACCTGGAAAGCAGGAATTCGTGGCAGGCGCAGCAGTCTGTGCTTTCTGAGGCGTGCTGTCAGATGCTCTCCCTCACTCTCACTCACACACGCTCACGCTCACACTCACACTCCCTCTCCCTCTCGCTCTCGCTCTCTCTCTCTCACACTCTCACTGTCTCACTCTCTCACTCACTCTCTCACTCGCTCGCTCACTCACTCGCTCTCTCACTCGCTCTCTCACTCCCACTCTTTCCCACTCTCACTCCCACTCTCACACTCACTCACACTCACTCTCACTCACGCTCACTAAAGCCCACAGTCAGTCACACACACAGACACTCTCACTCACTCACTCACTCACTCACTCACTCACTCACTCACTCACTCACTC